TATATATTTGCAGTGCTTACAGTTACTGTGACTAGTCTTCAATTCATTGCCTTGGAAGGCGCATTCTATGCCAACTTTGTCTTCTTCTTACTCATGCGTGGTTTCCTCTTCTCCACATTCTGTATAACGGTCATCTCAGCATTCCCACTTTCTCAGTATGGAACCATCTTGGGAGCGGCTTCTACTCTCAGCGGTATTTTCGCGCTGATACAGTATGGTCTTATTCTACCAAAGCCAAAGATAGCAAATTCCATTGCTCTCATATTGGCTTTTCTTCTATTTATTCCACCCACAATTATCTACATCATGTCGTCAAAGGCATTGAAGAAGCTTCCAAGTGATGTGTTCGAAAAGGACACAATCGAAGATAATCTTTCCTCCATTCATTTATAATTCATCTGTCAACAATTTTATCGTCTGATTTTATTAGAGCCCACTTACATAAATTTGCATTGCTATCAATTACTTGCATAAAATTTTATTATCATCAAGAAATGAACATTTTTATTTGCTTTTAAATGCAATTTTATATTGCTTAAGTGTCTTAATAGAGACAGCAAAGTAAATAAATAAAAGTTAAAGATTTTTATTAAAAACAGCCACTAAATCTATACGATTTTATCTTACTTACAAAATGGCACCACTTTAAACACCAAACGGCATTCTCTTTCTTAATGCCATAATCGTTAAACACTCATTGGCTACTAGCATTAGTAAGCGTGAACTGCACTTTGGTGAAATGCGACCAATTTGCTTTCGCCAAAATAGTAAATGGTAATCTATTCAAGTATTTAGTTAGGTCAAGTGACAGCAGGAAGAATTCGGACAAGTATCGCCACCACATTGCAACATTTTCTCTCCCTCTAGCACTCTGCAAAGCATAAACACACTTTAGCACAATTAAGTACTGATTAGTCAACCCAGATCAGTCACATTATCTGAAATGGGAAATCGATTCAATGTACACCTTAAGGCTGTGATGTCCTGAGAGGTTTAAGAAACTGCTGAAAAGTCTAAATGGATAGCTTACATTCGGAGATAATCTGATACCTTAATTTGACCTATTGTCTTCTCTATAAAAATATCACGGTTTTGGTCGAAACTACGTTTTCGGTAATTTATGACAGTTCATTTTGTAAATTTTAATGTCCGGTTTGTATTCATTTAAAAGAGCTAATTGGCAGTAAGGTGAAGTTTATAAATGAAATGTGTCACAAAAAGAAGACAAAACTATGGCTTGAGGCTGTAAGCCCCCTATCTTATTTGGGTTTTATTCCAGACGAATTACAAAGAAGGTGAAGACTGAAAGTGTGGAAAGAGAACAAGGGAATGTCTATGTCACTCACACCAATTGTGTTCGTAAAAGAGAATATGCATTCGGAGTCTGTCCCATGCAGAGTCATTTTGTCGGCATTCAAAAGTTCCAATGATCCACCTAATTGTTGATAGCGAATGATTTGGTGCTTTGAATATTGAAGTCCTCCTATTAGTCATCGCGTTTGCTTGATAACTCACCTTTGTTACAATTTGATTAGTAGACTAAAGATTCACTTCTCATAGCTCATATGTTTACGATCTCCATGAACAAAGAAATTACAAAAGTTGGTGGGAAACATCACGGAAATAAATGAATACTGGCTACGTAGACACTACCAATTTCCTTCCGACCTTAGAAAATCCATGGCGTATTTAAGATCAGAGCAGAAATCTGGCCCAACTGGAAGTGCCATTGATACCTGGTACTTGTAAATTATGAAATAACTAGAAACTTATTTTCGAGTCTGAATAGAAGAAACAGCTTCTTTCCTACTTGGGGTGTCTGTCACTGTTACTTCTAAAAGCACCTACGTGGACAGTCACAACAGAAGCAATGTAATTAACCACCAACATTCAATTTTTTTCCTATTTCTAATTTTTAATGACTATTCCTAATTTATTTGTATCTATTTGATTGCCATTTTACAGCTAACCGTTATTTGTAACTCGTGAGGGACGTCTTTAACTAAAATGACCATTTTATAAACAAAATTAACTTATTTATATAAGATTGGATTTGTGGCATATGATTAATTGCTACGCTAACCACTATTGCGCACACATGTATTCGCATGGGATCACTTTGATTGATAAATGTGGACACGCGAGATCATATTCACTAGCACCTCCATTTTCTGTTTTCGTCTTTCCACCATCAAATTGTTTTGTGTTGATGTCGCCCTGAGATTACTTTCACTTGGGTTAATCAGTCTAGTAAGTCCGACAATTTGATAAAAGTGCATACAATGTATGTCATTGGGAGAAGCAGTTGTATGACTATAGACATATTCGATCCATGATCCAGGAGAATTTTGTCTCTTTACTTACCAACTTGAACCATATTTGCTGTTGCAAAATGTGTGGGAAAAAGTTCTCTCATTAAATTCCATTTAAACGACTGGACATGTAACGTTTCAACTTCCAATGTAAAGTAAAATAAATTTGGCACTTTTTGTCAATGATGATTATTACCTCTGAGACACTGTGGTCTACTTCATAGTTGGCTACTGTTGCTTACTCTTGTAGCGCATTGCTGCTCTAGTAAAGCCTGACTAACTCAGAAATCTCTATGGCAGATTCTCCAACATCTAGCTAGACTCCCAGAACTAGCTAAGCTATAGCCCAGCTATAAAGGAAACAGACGTGTAGCACGGAGCACGTTTATTCAGTACGGGTATTGCGGATAAAGTGTACACGCAGGGAGCTTAATCATGATCAGGATGGCGGATTAGGTTTATACGGTCGCACCTCCCATTCCTGGCGTGCAGGCATGCGATGACGTGTCCCACACTCTAAAGCTTCTGGATAAACTATTTTTTCTCTTATCCTAGTCTGCAAAGGTAACCTTTAAGTTGTGAAAATACTCTCACATAATCTCAAGTCAAGAAGGTCTGGATAACATCTATATCAACGAATGGAACCCAACGTGATAAGGTTCCTATACTAACATCATAAATTCCTACCTTCTTAGCCCTTCAGTGAATGATAACTTGAGAGTTCACTATCAACCGGCATTAACAGTATTTTTGATAGAACCTATCGATATTG